GCAAAGATTTTGGTGCTTCCGTTGTTTCCATCTTTGTCCTCCTCCATCAGGAGAGAGTGTCAGGGTTCGTCACATTAGGCGTTCCATTTATGCCTCCTCGTCCTCCCACCCATCACAAGCTCCTTCCCGAAGGCTTCTATATATCAAGATGGCAGGTCCTCTCTTTTTTCTCCCCCTCCTTCTCGTGATAGCTGGATTTGGCTGTATCCAACTCGATCGATAAATTTTTCTTTCAGGAGCCTGGACGTGCTGAAGCTGATTTTGGTCGATTTGATGCTAAAACAGTAGTGAGGAATATTTACATCATGTTCTCCAGAAGTGAAATTCCAATAGCTCAAGAAAACCAGGAGATCATGGACATAGTCGAACCATCTACTTCTCTACCCTCTTGGTTCTCTGAGGAAGATCTTGCAACCTATGGAGCCCTGTACCAGAAATCGGGATTTCAAACTGCATTGCAAGTTCCTTACAGGTAACGTGAAGGTTTTCTACATAAAAAATATTGTGCTCTCGCGTCATTCCTATGATAATATAACTATGGCTTATGCGAACTGATACATGGATGATTCAAAATAGGAAAGATTAAAAAAAAAAAATGAAGAACCAGTTTGCGAAAATTGTTTCAAGAAAGAGCACGTTTGGCTAAGCCTTAAAAGTATCTTTATCCTATTTTCAAGAATCTTTATCCTAAAAACCATGAAGTTACTTGGACCAAACAGGGTTGGATAATTTACTTTTTCCTTGCAAACGCTTAGTCAAAATTATTTGTGTGAAATGGCTTTTCTGGTTGACGTTCGCTCTGTTTTAGGGCATTTCTTGATCGCCAGAGTGAACTTTATAATATACCAATTCCGAAAGTTGAAGTTCCAGCTCTTCTAATAATGGGCGAGAAGGATTATGTTTTCAAGTTCCCAGGAATAGAGGAATACACAAGGAGCGGAGAGGCGAAAAAAGTTGTCCCCAGTTTGGACATAATCTACGTACCAGAAGGAACTCATTTTGTTCAAGAGCAATTCCCTGAACATGTGAATGAGCTTATCCTTAACTTCCTCACAGGTCATAGCTGATCATTTCTCTTAAATAGCCCTTTCTACTTGCATAAACATTCTACTAAATAAAGGGGAAAATGTTGCGAGTTTGAATGAGACATATTGGGATCTCGTGTTTTGATAAACTAAGATGT